GGAATTTGGGGTGTGGATCCCCCTGGGGAGCAGCAAAATCCCACCCAAAAAACCCAAACTCAACTTTAACTCCTCCAAAAAACCCAAATTCCACTCATTTTTCCTAAAAACAACATCAGCAGAGGCGAGGGGAGCTTTTCCACAGGAAGCGATCCCAAAAATCCTTCCCCGTTCCCAAAAAAATTCCCCCCCCCAAAAAAAAAATTCTCTTGGGATCAAAATGGGGCCCTGGGTGGGGAATTCTTGGGGTCAGCCCTGGAATGGGGAGTCGGGAATTCGGGAATTATTGGGGTCAGCCCTTGACTGGGGAATTTTTGGCCCTTGAGCGGGGCACTGGGAATTGGGGAATTTTTGGGGTCGGCCCTGGAATGGGGCATCAGGAATTGGGGAATTCTTGGGGTCGGGGAATTTTTGGGGTCAGCCCTTGAACAGCAGCACGGCCGTGCCGGGGGGACGGTCCCGAGGATTGGGATTTCGGGAGGGACAAAGAGGAGGAGGAGGAAAAGGGGCTCGGCCACCCCAAAAAGGGCGAGCGCCGCGATCCCGGGAGAGGCTTTGCCAGGTTTTCCACAGGGCCGGAGGGATCCAAAGGAGGAGCCAAATCCGGATTTTTGGAGGACGGATTTTCGGATTTGGGGACGGTCCCGTCCTCCCCAAATTGGGATTTTCGGAGCGATTTGGGGCCACTCCCACCCCATCCAATCCCTCCCCCAAATTGGGATTTTCAGAACGATTTGGGGACTGTCCCGTCCTCCCCAAATCGGGATTTTTGGACCAATTTGAGGCCACTCCCGCCCCATCCAATCCCTCCCCCAAATCCAAATTTTCAGAGCCTTTTGGGGACGGTCCCATCCCTGCCAAATCGGGATTTTCAGAGCAATTTGGGGACAGTCCCATCCCCCCCAAATCGGGATTTTTGGACCAATTTGAGGCCACTCCCGCCCCATCCAATCCCTCTGCCAAATCCAGATTTTCAGAGTGAATTGGGGAAGGTCCCAAATCCGGATTTTTTGAGCCATTTTGGGATGGTCCCATCCTCCCCAAATCGGGATTTTCAAAGAGATTTGGGGACGGCCCCATCCCCTCAAATCGGGATTTTCAGAGCAATTTGGGGACAGTCCCATGCCCCCCAAATCGGGATTTTCAAAGCGATTTGGGGACAGTCCCATCCCCCCAAATCGGGATTTTCGGAGCGATTCGGAGCCGCTCCCGCCCCATCCGGTCCCTCCTCCGGCCGCCTCACACCGAGGTCTCCGACTGCAGCCTCATGATGAATTTGTGGGATTTGGGGTCCACGAACTCCTCGGAGAGTTTGAAGAAGGGGATTTTCTT